TGGTCTGGTCAATATTAATCTTGCCAATATTGGTTTTTGCCAATATTGGCCTAACCAATATTGGTCTGCCCAATATTGGTCTTACAAATAATAATTTTTTTAGCATTGGCATCGCAATATTACATTGTTTTGTCATTTAATTCGAAATTATTTCATTTCAAAAATAATTTATTCTCAAAATATCAAATTTGGAGATATTTTAATTCACTGATTTCACATACAAATTTTACTTAAATTTAATTAAATTTTCTATTAAAATCAATAATAATATTGTTCTGAATTTCAATTTTTTCAATTAAAGAATTTAATTTTAAAAAATGTTGGTTACATTAAAACTGTTTTACAAAAGTGTTTATGTATCTAATTCTAGTTTCTTTTAATTATTGCAGATGAATATGAAGAAACAGATTCATATGAAGATGAATCCAGTGAAAAACTTGGTCCGCACATTGGTAATTTAAATTATATATAAAATTAAATATTCAATTGTGATTAAAGCTTAATTTCGAAAAACTTGGTTTGAATTTAAAAATTTGAAAATAGTCATACTGTTTCTAATATTTATAACAGGTGAACAAGATCCATATGATGATGAATCTAGTGAAGAGCATCATCCAGAAATCGGTAATAATTCTTACTAAAAAACTTTTTATTTAATTTAGTAAGGAATTGTTTATAATTAATTATATTGTTATTATTTTTAACAATTTTTCAGATGAACATGAAAAAGCAGATTCATATGAAGATGGATCCAGTGAAGGACATGGTCTACAAATCGGTAATTATGATAAATAAAAATATTTTTTAAGATTTTATTCTTTAAGATCAAAACGTAATTTTGACTTGAAAAATTTAAAATAGTCTTATTGTTTCTAATATTTATCACAGGTAAACAATATCCATATGACGAATCCAATGAAGAGCATTCAGAAATCGGTAATAATTCTTACTGCAAAAATTTTATAAGGAATTGTTCATAATTAATTATTTTGTTATTATTTTTAATTATTTTTCAGACAAACATGAAGAAACAGATTCGTATGAAAATGAATCCAGTGAAGAACTTGGTCCACAAAATGGTAATTATGATAAATAAAAATATTTTTAAAAATTTTAATCTTTAAGATCAGAACGTAATTTTGATTTAGGATTTAAAAAATTTAAATTTAATATATAATTTATTGTTTTGTTTCTTTTTCTAGGTGAACATAAAGAAACAAATATCTATGAAGATGGATCCAGTGAAGAAAATCTCTCAGACATCGGTATTTATTATAAATTAAATTAAATTTATAAAAAATCTCTATCTTAACTCTTAAAATCTCAAAAATTATTAACAAGATATTTCTAATTGATTCTAATATTATTGTTTCTATTTGCAGATTCTGATGAAGAAACAAATATTTCCAGTGAAGATGAATCCAGTGAAAAAGAAAAATATCCACAAATCGGTAATTTGTATTAATAACTATGAATATAAATTTTGATAATTTAATTACGAAGAAAAAATAAATTGCATCTATAAATTGCATTGCAAAATAAATTGCAATAAATTTTAGCCTTGTCTTGAACTCAGAACAAATTTAATCAAAATAATCTGAAAAACAAGTTGAAAATGGTTATTAAAATGACTATTATTAAATAAGGGTTGAATACATAAAATACTCACAAAAAATATCATATTTTCCCACTTATAAAACGATATTAAAATTATTTATTTACCAAAAATAACAAATGTAAAATATGGTAAGATGGTGAAAACTTAAGACTGTTTATGGTTTTTAATTTCTACTATAAAAAATTGGTCGAAACTAAAAAACTATGAGTGGTGGACAACCCTTACTAATTGTTCCCCAATTCTGCATATTTTTATTTTTAATTAATTTCTAATTTTATTTGTTGAAAATGAAATTTCACTTTTTATTAATTTTGCAGGTGACCATAAAGAAACAGATTTGTATGAAGATGAATCCAGTGAAGAAGAAAAACATCCACAAATTAGTAATTTTGGTAATTGTTAAATTAATGTCTTAAATACAAAAAAAATAGATCAAAATAATCTGTAAAGGGAGATGAAAATTATTACTTAAATTGGGCCAAAAATTAAAAAATTGGATCTTTGGACAAATCTAAACTTTCAAAATTAATTTCTAATCCTGACAAAATTTCACACTAAAATTTAAATTTACAACATCGATTTAGATTGTTATAATATTCTGACAAGATTCTTATAAGTGATATCAAGATTCTTTTTCGTAGATTTCCATTGGATTCTCATCAGGATCTTTACATATCGTTTATAAAATTCTTATCAGATTTTCATAATATTTTTATAAGATTCGAAATAAATTCTTATGAGATTCTCAGTGGATTTTCACCAGTTTTTTTTTTATTATTTTCAATTAATTCAAAATTAAGTGTTTTATAAAATAATTACTAAGTATGCCAAAATTTTCTTTTCAATTTTTATTCTCGAGAAACTCCTAATTTTATTTGCTGAAAATTATATTGTATTTTAATTTATTTTTAAAATATGTTATAATTTTTCAGGTGACCATGAAGAAGCAGATCTGTATGAAGATGAATCCGGTGAAGAATATCAACCACAAATAAGTAATTAAAATAACAAATTAATTTCACCATTAACATTTTTATTCATAATTATTTATTAATTTTTTGATAATTAATTCTAATAAATTTTTGCAGGTGAGCGTGAGCCAAATGAAGATGGATTCAATAGAGGACGTCCACAATTCAGTTATTAGAAATTAATAACAAAATTAATTAGAATTAATTAATTAGAATTATTAATAACAAAAAATACATAATTATGTTTAATATCAATTGGCTTATTTTTAATTAGTTTCAAAATTTATTTTTGTGTTTTTAATTGAAGTAGAAACTTCATTTAAATTCATTTTTACAGCAGGAGAACGTGAACCAAGTCAGGATGAATCCAGTGAAGAACATTATGTAGAATTCGGTAAATATTATTAATGTAACTATTTTTTTTTCAATTATAATCAATTTCTGATTTTATATTAATTGTTTCTAATAGTAGTTTCTAATATTTGTTACAGATACACAAGATTCATATGAATCTTATGAATATGAATCATATGAAGATGAATCCAGTGAAGAAGATGGTTCACCAATCGGTAAGTAATTAATATTTTAATTAAGTAATTGATAAAAAAATTATAAATTGGAAACCTAGGAAATGATTGTATTGTTTTTAATCATAATTTGTCAGATTTAAGTTCATTTAATTGTAATTTAGTTTTTTTTTTTAATTTTAGATAAGAGACCAGCCTCTGCCCGAGATGAATCAGAAGAAGTTATGGGTGAGTTATTTTTTTTAATAAATTTATTAGGGTAATCCTTAATATGGATATTTTGGAATTTTTTTTGCTTCCAGGGGCTCAAGTACTTCCAAATTTATAAAAAAAATTCTCTAAAAGTTTCAGCTCTGAATATTAAATTTTGTTTTAGTTATATATATATATATATATATATATATATATATATAAATAAATATTTAAATATATATTTAGATTTAGATTTCCTTTCCCAAGATAACTCCGGACTGTTTTACCCTTGGGGTTACGATGGTCCTCCAGCAATTCCCATGGGCCAGGCATATTTGGGTCGTGGTGAAGCATTAAATGGATATCATCAAAGATATTGTAAGTCTTCTTTATATCTCCTAAATTATTATTTCTTCGAAATTTTTCGAACATGCGCAATTATAATTTAAATAAAAAATGCTCGCTTATTTTTCATTGCGTATTCTATTTGTTTAAAATTCTTCATTTTTTTATTGTCCTTTTTAAATTATATATGAATGATAATACTAGATAATAGAAATTTGACTGTAAATTTCTTCAAATTTTTGTCTTACTATATAATTATTTATTATAGAAATTTTGTACTCCTGTACGGCCAATTGCACTTCAACCCGGAACGATGCCTCGTTCTAGGTTGAGAGCAATCGGCCGGACTTTTGCCGGACACTCAAATATTTTTTATATACAAAATTTTTTAAATGCTAAAAATGACTATAATTATGACAAAAATTGTAGTAGTTTTTAATTGTATTATTTTTTCAGATTTTCCGCCTAATGGAGGTTACTACGGTCGCCGATGACTTTTTATCAATAGTGCTGCAAAATTGATGAATATCGATTTAAATTCGATTTTGCTCCCGAATATAATTTACAAATGCATCTCTTTGTTATTATGACAAATTAAAATAATTCATATTATTTAACACGTTAACCGCTATAATAATATCAGAAAAATTTTCACATGGGCCAGGGTAACTTTATAGATAGATAATTTGATTGAAAATGTAACAAGAAAAAAGATGGCCAAAATTTCTGAGAAAACACTATTTTTATGCTACACATATATGATTGACATAGCTCTTAATTAATACTTTTTCTCTCTTTCTAGATAATTTAGTTAAAAATGTAACCAGGAAAAAAATTTGCTTAATTTTCTGAAAAAATACTGTTTTTTATGTGACTGTCATGGTTCTATATTAGAACTTTTTTTCTCCTTTCAAATCGCATATGTCAGGCATATGGATCATATGCAACTTTTAGTGTCAGACACATATGACTGACACGGCGTTTAGAGAATAAAATTTAAACTGGGAATAGACAAAAATAATAAATAAAAAACTTTTTGCTTTGAGAAAAAATCTTATCATTTTACAATTTCCAAATAGTGCCTAAACGTACAGAGCACTTTTTTGTAGCGAAATGTGTTCTTAGATTTTGAACAAACTTTTCAAATATTATAAATATATAAATATATATATATATATATATATATATATATATAAACATCGATGATGTAAATTAAAAAGTAAATAAATGTAGGCAAAATATTTCAGTTATTTCCCGTTCACACCTAATTATAAACGTTTAATATAAACAAATAATCTGTATAAAAAGATCTAATTTTGAACTAATTTTATTAGTTATAGAATTTCGTTTAGTGAAAGTAGTCAAATTGTGGTCAAATATAAAAGTCACCATCGGGTAATTATTACAGACTTGTGCAAACGTTGTCTTTTTAAGAATTAAAAGTTTAAATCTTCTTTTTGTCCATAGTTAATTAGTTGCCACTTACATCTAGTTTAACAATTTCTATATTAGCAAACTTTTTTTTTTAGACAAATATGAAATTGTTCAATATTTTATTGGTGACTTTGTGTCTATATTTTGTAATATGTATGGTAAATGCTAATGATGATAATGAAATTGTTAAAGATGAAAACGATGAAGAAAATCCAACTGAACGTAAGTATAGAAAAATTTCAAAAATAATATATTATTTTATTTATACATGAAAATATCAATATTAAATAAAAATTGAAAATTTCAATTCTAATTCTTTGGCAATAAAATTCTTATCTAGAATTTACGAGTATTTTATTTATCTAGAATCTTTGCTGCAAAAATATTATCTAGAATGAAACCCAATGGTAAATTTACGTGCTACAGATGGTGGCGTTCTATGAAAATTTATGTAGTTCCTTATACTTCTTTAATTTTGGTGTATCCCACTTCTGTTTCTAATTTAGAATATTATTTTTTCTTATTTAGCTTGTTTAGTCATATATAATTTATTTTTCATAGATATATAATATGAATGATTTTATTTGTTTTATAAATATGTAATTTATCCTTCCAGCTCCTTCACCTTCGGAGTCCACCCCAGCTTCATCTTCGTCTGAGGATGATAAAACAACTGAACCTGAAGTAAAGAAAACTCCACGTAAGTTTTCTTTTTATGTTTTTTTTCTTATTTTTTAGGGCAAATCAAATTTTAATTAATAATAAATAATTAAAAAGAAATAATTATTTTTGTTTTTCCAGAATTGGACAGTGCCACCATAGCTGTATCGTGTGAAGGTATATTATAAAATTAATATACATTTATATAAATACTAAAATAAACTTCAAGTTAAAATTTATTATGAATCCTTATTTTATTTGTTCGTCTTTAGTTTTTTTTTATTTTTTTTTCTATTAAATTTAGTAAATTCTAGTTTAAGCCTTTCTTCTGTTCTTTTATTTTATATGACAATGGTAAAAATATATTATGAGAAATAACAAATGCATTCTATTTGTTGATTTTTTTTATTAATTTACAATAAATCATAGCTTATGTAATTTTTGAGAAGTTTATGCCTCATGGCACGATTTTAATAATATTTTTTAAATTTTAATACTAATTATTATTAATATTACAGAGCACCATTCATCAAAATCTCATAGTAACCAAAATCGTAAGTGATTATTATATAAAATTAGTTGTAATATATAAAACTAGCAAAATTCAATATTTTTTATTTATTGGTCATTTAAAAAGGACTTTTTAAACGTATTTTTGCTAAAAATGCTATTATGAATTTGTAAAATATAAAACTTCCAAAGAAGTTTACTTATGTTTTGATAGTGAACTGAATAACTTTTTGAAATGTATGAGAAATGAGAAAATTTTGAGAATATTTTTATTAAAAAAATGTTATTTAGTTGGTAATTCAAAATATTTGTTATTTTGGCATTTTTTAGGTTATTTATCATTTATAAATGTTCTTATTTAATAGTATTTATTCTTAATTTGTAAATTTCAGAAAACAGACCACGACCACAAACTGTATCTGGACGTAAGTTCTATTTATTAATCTCATATTAAAAATCCAAATTTCTGTCTTTCTAAATAATAAGAATTTTATTAGAATTTATATATGGATGAAATATTCAAAATCAATGTATAAATAGTTATTTAATTCTCATTAGTCATTTTATTTAATTCAGATAAATATTTCTTTCAGGTCCTCCTGTACAATATTTTAGCAGTCAGACAAATAAAATCAGGGATCTAAACGGTACTTGTTTAAAATTTTATATATTCACAATTTTAAGCACAAAGCATTTTAAGTTTATTTTCTATAATTAAAATTGAAATTAAAATAAAACCTATTATTCTCAAGTTTGGTAAATTTGCTATTTATAGATCTTCTTTACATAATTTTATGTTCTATTTTTAATATGTTTCAGTTGTGACTATTAATTTAATTTTCAATAATTGATTGTTTTTTTATATTTTTAGAAATGTACAACCACGATCCATTTCTACAAGAATTCAAACCAATACGTAAGTTATTTTATATTATATGAAACAATTGTTATTTTTATAAGAAATATTATTTTCTCCTATAGTCAAATTTATTCTTAAAATAATTTTAAAAAATGTGAAATATTTTTGCATATTTTTTTCAAGATTTTTTACATTAAAATTCTTAATACTTACCATAATTTAATAAAAATCATTCAACAGATTCAAGCTTGGTATCAAGTAGTAGTGATATTAGATTTTTGCTTGAGATTTTCTGATAATATTAAGTTATTTTTAAATATTTTATGTTATAGAAACTTATATTGAAAATACTTAATAATACATAGTTTTATACTAAATTATCAGGTATAGGATGTTCTTTGATTTTTTTAATCAGAATTTAATTGTTTTATCGTATTTTTTTAACTTAATCGAATTAATTATATTTATAATACATTCATTAAATAAAAGTTTATGTATTAATTTTACAAATTTTAACGTGTTTTTTACTAATATTTTTCAGCTTGGTGGACACTATATTATAAACCAGTAGTAGAAAAATTGGTGCCTCTTTATGGTCAGTATAAAATTTTATTTACTTTTTCAAAATTGATTTAAAATGGGAGGATGAAAAATACTAATTTGTGAAAATTTGTAAAAGTCTATTTAATAAAGGAATAATTTGAAATTGCAAATTTCCATTACCTAAAAATGTATAAATACCTATTTTTTTAAAATTGAGAAGTTTTGGTAATTTAAGTAGAAAGGTTAATATTGACAATTCAAAAAGATTGTTAATGTCAATAATTGTAAAATATTTTTAATAACAATAAATTTAAAACATAATATGTAAACAAAATTTTGAATAATTTTGAATAAACCGTAACATCTACATAATTAAAAAAAAAGTTTAATTGAATAACTATAACTTTGTTAATATTTTTCAGCTGCACAAAAGCAACAAGATCCACAAACACAAGGTACGTTTTGGACTAATCAGATATTATCAGTATAATTTCATTCTTTGCTATAACATCTTTCTATTTTTTTTAGTCCAAGACATTTGGAATCTCTGGAATTCTGCCCAAAATCCACCATATCAACAAAACCCTTCATATCAGCAAAACGTTCCATATCAACCAAACCCAATTAATCAACGTCCTCAAATAAATGCTCAAAATTCTGGTACACTATGTACTTCAAATTATTATGGCCAGAATCAAAATTGCAATCCAGATCTATATTATCCCCAAACTCAATACACACCTTATGTACAAACCCAATATCAACAAACTCAATATCCTTTGGTGCAACCTCAAGTTTATAGTCAAAACCAAGTCATGTCCCAAAGTCAATATCCTTCGATACAACCACAAAACTTACATTATGGACCAAACCAAGTCCTTTCTCAAAGCCAGTATCCTTCCTCTGAATTTGTTCAAAGTTCTTCTTTTGCTCCTACAAATCCAACTCCATATCAAGTTCAGGAAAACGAAGTTATACAGGAGTCTGATATTTATAGACCAGGTAATAAAAACCAAGCAATAGAAAATAAATTAAGTAAAAAATTAAAAAAAAATGAAAGTGGAGAAATTGTGATCTAAGCAATTTTTTTGATGCTATGTTTATGGACTCATTGGTTGAAACATTTGTTACATTTTTTTTACTTAAAAATATTGGTGTTTAGTACAATCTTATATATAAAAATGGAGCTCTCAATAAAATGATTCACTAAAACTCAAAAACGGCTAAACCGATTTGGCCAGTCTTAGTCTTGAAAAATTCGTGCTAATCAGTAGGTTATCGGAAAAGTGAGATATTTTTTTTCAAAATCGCGTAGAAACTTTACATTTTCAATTTGAAATTTATTGTAGAAGCGTAATTTAAATAAAACAATGGACGGTGGCTAATACGTCAAATGTCAAACGTTTTTGATAGATGATGTTCAATTACGTTTAATAGGATGTTTCAGGTGAATATTATTTAATTATGATTAAATTGTAGTAAGTAGTTATATTTATACACAAAAATGTTATTCAACGGGCCGCAAGTGTTACTAGAAACTCAAAATATCAACTTTTGAAATGTTAATATGAAAATTCAGTTTTTGGCGTTGTAGCATTTTTTTGCAAATCATATTTTTCTCAAACAACTCTGTAAGAACTCATTTGTATAATAATATACTTTTTGGTATTTATAAAACATTTTCTAGATTATATTTTTTTATTTATGAACCGAAATTTGGGATCGAGCGAAGGGACATTTTGTCAAATAACATTTTTCCAGTTATAGTTTCTCCGGAATATATCGAAAAATAGATAATAATATATGAAGGTCCGGGGTTAAAAAGTTTCACCACCGATGTGTCAAAAACCAGTAAAGTCAAGCATTGTTTAACAACAATATTTGAAAGTAGAGACTGATTCTTATGACTTTGCTATCGGGAGATAAATGGTAATCTTTGAAAATCCAAAATAAAAGTGTTTTCTTCCGTTGGTATTTTTATTATATGGCATTAGTTAAAAATGTAATTATTTTGTAAAATACCTTCAAAATTAAAGTAAGACATTTAACCAGTTTGCCACCTGGCCGTTCCAAGTGTCCTCGCCTATAGAGTAAAAAGGTCTAGATAACAAATTTTTGAAAGACGTCAAAAAAGCACATTTCTACAATGATGAAGTAGCTGGCAGTTTTACTGAACGTAGTCAGATAATTGTTCGTTTGAAATGTGTTATTTCTTGTGATATAATTGGTTTGATTTTTATAATATAATTAATATTTGCTCAAAGTCAAATTGGACCTATGTGTCTCGGCCTGCTCTACATATATACTTTTTATTAAATTTACTTCAATTTATGGAATGTTATTTGAAACTTTTCAAAAAGCAGGTCAAAGAAGAAATACTTAATTCATTTTCTATCTGTTCTTGCACAAATTTGAAAAGTTTGTATAAGCTCAGTAGTATTATTTACAATCTGACTGATCACACAAAATCCAGAATCTGAAAGACTTGAGACGTAATCAATAAGTCGCAAGACCAAAAAATACTTGGATTGGATTATATCATGTTTTCTATAGAAAGTGTATAAAAATTCCAGTTTGATTGTATTGACAAATATAGACAAACTAATGGGGTTTATAATACCTCATATAGTTTTCAAACAACACATCCTTATACACTTAAAGTATTGTAATTTTTTTGATTATCTAGAAAATGTTTAGAAATACTTTACTTAGCAAAACAACGTTTGCCGGGTCATCTAGTTTATAATATTATATAAATTCATTGTTTGTCATTATTTATAATATAAAAAAGTGCAACCCTATAATTTCTTACAACTGTAAATTTTGTATGTTCCAGATATTGGTGGACAAAAACAGCAGTTACATCATCGTAAGTTGGAACAAAAAACACTATCTTATAGATAAAATTACTTTTGACCAAAGGACCGTTAAAAGAAGACTCCATATTTTATTTGCCCCTTCTCGTTCACTCTGTTTATACTTTTCATTTCTCAAACTTCTGTTTCCATAAATCCATACCTTGTGCCTTGTCTGCTAAAACCTAAAATTTTACTAATGTTTAACTTCCCGTAGGGTAAGTTATAGTAATCGCAAAAAAATCGAAAATGAAATTTTTTATATATCTTCACGTTTTAGAGGTTTTTGAATATTTTGGCATACCTTAGAAAAAGTGTATGTATGTGTGTGTGTATGTATGTGTGTGTTTGTGCGTGTATGTATGTGTGTGCGGATACAAATTTTCGTCGACGATTTCGGGAACACAGATGAAGCAATTTGAATATTTTAAAAAACATTCGATTCGTATTGATATGGAGACGTGCTGATTAGTTTTTGGCGGAGGTAGGTCTAGCCGTTCCGAAGATATGGGGCAAAAAGTGCCAAAAACGGTACCTCAGCTTTTAAGAGAACGGAGCGTTCGATTTTAATAATTCAAAAAACATTTAACTTGTATTGACAAGATGAAAAATTGACAAAATTTTCATAAGGGCACATCTAACGGTTTCGGAGATCTAACGAAAAAAGTAAAAAAAATGCCATTTGGCCGTCAAAAATGATCATTAGACATATGCACATCAAATTATTAGATATTTTATATAGATTTTAACAATAAGTATAAATTTTGTTTACATTCCTATTGGTTCCGTACCAATGTTTACCCGTTAAACAGCGACGCGGCGCTTACGCGCTTTATATTTTATCTCTGTGCAGTTGAAGCAGAACGATTGCTTTGAAAAAAAGTTCAGATCTTCTAAAATATGTCAAAATAAAGAAAAAAAAAATTTTCAAAAAAAAAATTTAAAAAAAATATTTTTTTTTCAAAAAAAAGTAATTTTTTGTCAAATTTATAGTTCCTCAAAAATTTTATTTTTTCGAAGTTAATTTTTTTTCAAAAATGTTAATCGTTTTTAAAAAAATAATGATTTTTGGTACGGGAAGTTCCAGCAACTTGCCTTAAGACACGATGTGCTAATTGCCTTAAGACAGAATTCCACTTACAGCTAATTCATTTTTCTTTTTCCTAAGCTGCCAAATGTCTGGGTGCCTTCGAGGTCTACAGCCACTGCCTCGGCCATTGCGACCGAACCTGCGACGGAAGTGACAGGATGCCGACACCGTGCAGTGCTGACATCTGTATTGCAGGATGCAACTGCATTTCTGGGTACTCTAGAGACGAGGACGGACATTGCATAGAGACCGGCAAGTGCAAGAAAAATGAAGACAAAGAGGGAAAGGGGCCTACCAAAATTGTTGTGGCTGTTATGAAGAAAGATAGAAGTTGAATGAAATAAATGTAATAAAATAAATAATAAATTTGTTGCAATGGAAAGCAGTAATAGATAGTTGTGTGTCCGAAGGCAGGGTTAAGGTGTGAGAGTACTATAAATCAATGATTTTTTCACCCTCCTTATTATTTATTATTTTTATTACCATTTATGCATTTTTTGTTTACGAGACATTTGCTTCCATGCTTTATGATCCTATGTTTCCATTAGCTGTTTCCTCTATCGATCATCTGTATTCCTTTTCCTTACTAATCATGTAGGTCTTTCTATATCAGTCAAGCCTAATAGAAACTAGTGGTGTATGGCATCGTGCCTTAAGGCAAATTGCTGGAACTTCCAGTACCATAATAAAATATTCGAAAAATTTTATACGTTTTCAAATATATTATTACAAATACTGTAACTTTCATTATTTTTGCTATCTTGTTACATCTGAGCAAATCAAATGTAAATCATAAATCAATTTATCTCCAGAACATTAACAATCGTCATTTCATTTCGAATTCAATTTCAAAAAAATAGTTGTCTAATTTGCACAAAATTGAAAAAGTGCTCAGTCTAAACGCATTTACAAATAATTCTGTGCGACATTTTCACTTATACTGTGCTCAGCTTGGCGGCATTTTCACATTTTTCAATAGTTTTCACAAAATTGGAAAAGTGCTCCAATACATATATACAGTCTAAACGCACTTCGGTAAACATTTGTACCAGAGGGGCGCTTAGACTATGCTTAGCCTGGGCAATTTTTTGAATTTTTAATCCAAAATTACACAAATATTTTATGAAAAATAAAAAAAGATGTAATAATTTTTTGTCATCAAAAGCAATCGTTTTGTCAATACAAGCAGAAAGTTTTTTATAAAATTCAAATCGGACGCTTAGTTCACTCAAAAACTGACATTTTTGGCACATTTAGCTCTGTATCTTTGAAATGGCGGGACCTGCCTTTGCCAAAAACTAATTACCTTTTCTCTCAATCATAACAAATTGAATGTTTTTTAGATCATTCCAATCCGATACTCCGTTCTCTCAAAAACTCGATTTCTATTTTCTGCACTCTTTGCTCCGTATCTCCGTAACGGCTGGGCCTGCCTTTGCCAAAAACCAATCAACACATCTCCCTATCAATAGAGATCGAATGTTTTTTAAACCATTCAAATCGGTTGATCCGTGCGCCTGAAAACGTGGACGAAAAAATGCGGACATACAAAACACACACACATCATTTTTTTCTGAGGTGTGCCAAAATGTTCAGAAACCTTCAAAACGTCGAGAAATGCAAAAAAAAATATTTTTGATTTGTGTCCCATTACTATAACTACCCTACGGGAAGTTAAAAAAAACCCTGATGATAATCCTTAAAGTTTTAGAAATATTTCTTAGATCAAAATTTTTCTTGTTCTGAACTACGAACATATTAACTTTTTAGCAAAGTTCTTAGTTTACAAAATTTTTATGTTATCAAACATCAAAATGTTTTAGAATAATTTAACCAATTAATTGCATCCAAATACACTGCGTCCAAATCAGAATAAAATATAATCGATTTATTTTAAGGAATGTGAACATTAATTAAAGCACCAATTTACAATATATTATTATCACCAATTACAATTTTGCTATAAATCAAAATTATATACTCGATAACAATTTTACGACTTTATCGCCAATATAAATTGGAGGCAATCATCCACTAAGTAGACTTGCAAAGTATATTTGTTAAATACAAAATAAAATATTTTACGATGCAAAAATTATTGGTGGCTTTTGTGTGTTTGCAAATCTTTGGATTTGCAGTTGGACGCCAATTGCAGTTCATGGACCACAATTCGGTGCATGAAGGAGTTTTTGGAAAAGGTAATAAACTAAACTTAATCGAAATTAATAAATAATATTTTAGTAATAAATTTTGTTTCATTTTTCAGGTGATGGTGATAGGTTCCAGAAGGCTTCTCATGATGGAATGGATTTGTCGCAGATTATTAATACAGGTAAATAAAATTGGGCACCAAAGGCAATCTTATCTTATATATAAAAATGAATTGCAAAATGTGTTGGTAAGCGCATAACTCAACAACACCTGGACCAATTTGGCCAATTTTTTTTTTTTAAATATTCGTTGATATCCAAATATCGTTCTTACGGCGAGAAAAATTCGAATAATTTCCGGAAAAACTCTAAAAACAGCCTTTTTCTTTTTCTCTTACAAACGCTGCGCTTTCTAACTAAAACGTAGAATCAATTTGAGCTTTATTGCTATTATATAACGTTCATATTAAATTACAAGCAATCACTGTATACTCCTTCTAAACGATTATGCGGATTTTGATAAATCTTTCTGAAGTTTGTTAATGAAATTTTCTAGAATGCATTTGATTATAAAGTACTAGGATGTATGTGCAATATTGTAGAAATAAATGAAAAAAAAATATAAAAAACGACATGTCATTATTTGCATTGAAAACGAATGAAAACTATCATCTGCTGAAAAATTTCAATTTACTTATGAACCTAGACAATATTAGAATATGTATAATAAATTAATGATTATGAATAAGAAAATGAAAAGTGCCAGAAATTAAAATAATATATAATACAGTATATGTATGGCAGATTGAATGATACACATATGAACAGGATATGACAAATTAATTCACTTGAAATATGAAATTAAGTATTTAATGACCGGTCCGACCTTTAATGCGATGCATGCGAAAAATACGAGCGCACGCCTTAGGGGGCGCCAACAGAAGATTCGGATATTAAATTTTTAATATAGTTTTTTTTCTCAATATATAATTTTTTTGTATCTTTGACTAATCTTTCTACAATATTTTTAAAATTCGTTAAAATTTCACTTTATAACAACAAAGGGGAAAGTAAAGATGAATACATACAATTCGGCCCTCACGATATCGATTAGGAGAAGTTTAAGATGCAATTTTGGATATTTTAAATAATAATAAATTAAATAAATTTAATCCAACATAAAGTACCAGTGTTATGTTATGGTTATGGTTATGTTATATCGTTTAAAAGACTTTAATTTCCAATATAGTGTGGGAATTGAGACTCATCATTTTATTTAAAGCAGCTTTACATTTAACATCACTCATATTATAAATGTGTATGCATTTTGGCGTGAAGAGTAATTTAAAAAACAATAATTATTATTTTTAGGTAAACGATAAATATTAGTATATTATATTAAAAAATTGTAGACACGAGTACAGCACAACTTCTGTCGGGTCATCTATGGTTTATGTATTTTGTGCAACTAATTTGCAAGTTTTTATCTTTTGCAGCCTTATCAGTTATCCAATCTATGAGATCTTCGCCAGATGATGAAGTTCGCCCAACATCTACTCCATCACCACATAAGGGTAAGTGACCATGGTAATAGACATATACCAATCTTCTTTATCTTTATCAATGTATCAAAACTAACTCCAACTACTTGTTGCACTTTGATCACTAATTTTTTTCTCAGACAAAATTTTTAACCTAATTTTATTCTTTTACCAGCTGGAAAATGCAAGGGCCCAAACGAACAATACAGTCATTGTGATGGCCATTGTGACCTAATGTGTGATGGTAGTGAAAAAATGGAAGGATTATCATGTTCTTCCGAATTGACCAACGTCTGCATCCCTGGATGCAACTGCAAACGTGGATTTGCCAGAAATTCACAAGGAGAATGTGTCAAGTTTATGAACTGTAAACAGGATTCTGTGATTGTGATGACCCAGAAAAAGTAGGAGATAAATCAGCAATATAATATTGTTTGATAGAGAATTTCATCTAATTATGTAATGGACTTGTTGATGCATAATTTTGGGGCGACTAGTAGAATATTGAATGAGGGATTTTAACCAAAACTGGGTCAACATATACTTGTGTATTTTTTGCAATGTACAATGAAAATATTTAATAAAATACTTTGATCATCTGTATTCAATTATTATAAGTAGTATCTTTGTCTTTTATTCAGTTGTAATTAGGGTTCATACAAAAATCAACATTTTAAAAAACTGTTTTTCGAATTTTTCACAGGACTGGTATGAACCAGATTTTAATTTTGATGAAAAATATTTTTCTCGAGTATTCTGTAATTTTAACGGAAAATTTTATCAGTAAATTTAGTGATTGAAAGAAGTTTTTGAATAAAATTATTTACTTTTCAATTTTATTGATAGTTAATTTTGAAGCAAATTAGTACAACAAAAGAACTAGTAGTGTATGGCATCGTGCCTTAAGGCAAATTGCTAGAACTTCCTGTACCATAACGAAATGTTCGAGAAATATTAAATGTTTCAAATAGATTGTTATAAATACTGTAACATTGTCTAATATTTATAAGAATTATATAAACTGAATTACAAAGTTAAAATTACTTATTTAAAGTATTTAAGTGAGCTTTAGAACTTTAGCCAGAATTTAAATTAAAATCTGAATTATTTTCGACACACAAAAAAAAATTGAGAAAAAAAATTGAAAAAGATTTTGAAGTAATTTATTTTCCAAAAGCAATTATTTTGTCAAAACAAGCAGAATATTTTTTGAACCATTCAAATCGGATGCTTAAGTCTCTTAAAAACTGCCATATTTTGCACTTTCAGCTCGGTATCTCCGAAACGACTGGACCTGCCTTTGCCAAAATCTAATCACCTTTTCCCCGTCATTACAAATTGAATGTTTTTTAGATAATTCAAATCGGATTCACCGTTCTCTCAAAAACTCGATTTCTATTTTCTGCACTTTTTCTAATCAGCACATCTCCTTATCAATAGGAATCGAATGTTTTTTGAACCATTCAAATCGGTTAATTCGTGCGCCCGAAAATCTTGTAAAGTAAAATTATTGTTGAATTATTAAAATCGGACGCTCCGTTTTCTCAAAAATTGAGTCACAGTTTTTGGCACTTTTTGTTCCGTATCTTCGAAACGGCTACACCTGCCTTTGCCAAAAAGTAATCAGCACGTCTCTTTATCAAT